ACTCAAAAACCGTGCATAATCGGATATAGGTGTACATAGTTTTGCAGATGACCCTATACCCTCTTTAGTTTGCTCCATGACATTTGGCACACCCTGTATATTAAGTGACAGAAAAAAAAGAACACCCAGCAATAACGAATTAATGTATTCTTATTATTAAGATTTTTCTAAGTATGTGTTTGTGGTTATGACAGAAAAACGATCAGCTCATCAACCATAACGATGAAGTGGTTTTTGGGTTCTTACGAAAAAGTGACTGATAGGTTTTTGGCGCTACGGGAACGCTTCGAGTTGAATGGTTTGAAAAGCATGGAAAACCTAATATAATGTGAATTGTTTATCGCAAGATCATCAGTTCACGGAACGACTGAACTGGATCTTTAGTGATGAATCCAGACTCTGTTTGGATTTTTTTGAAATTTCGATCAATCACTTACAAAGCAACTAGAGACATTTATTCGAAAAATTGTTGTAATAAATTCATTAATATTGAGCGATCTTTTTTCTATGTCACTTATTATATCATACATCCTAATGTTCTCCACTCACATGCTGATATCGAATAGATCTGAGACTAATGAGCCATTGCATGATTGTCAAAATGGCTACCCACAAGCAATATTCCCGTTATAGTAAAGGAAAACTGTGAATGAGTGGACATTTTGATATTCATACAATGTTCGTCAGTCCCCTATTTCTTCGATATCGGTATGTGAGTGGGCAACATAAACAATTCAGACTCCCAAAAAAAAAAGATCGAGATCCGTGAGACAGACGATGATATTCCTATAAATTCTTCGACTCTGAATCAGGAATGTTCCTAGATGTCTAGAATCCACCCCTGGGCTCTAAACTACCCCCAGGAGGCGTGAAAATTGAGTTTTGAATTCCAAATTCTGAAGCATAGTATTAGCATGCATTTTTCAAAGTAGAATCCGAACTTGCGGTCAAAAAGATCTCTACGCTGCTAGAGGGCCAAAAACTAGGCGTTAGAAGGCGTAAAGATGGACTTTTCTACACTGAATCCGAATTTGGGGCCTACCAGAATAAGTTTGGAACTGAAAATTTTCGATTCTGAGACATACATATTTCACCCCCCCATTTTTCACCCGTTATTACGGGTAGCTTTGACGCTGGGGTTGAATTTCAGGGAGGAGAATTTTTTTACTTCAAATTCCGACTTAGTGTTGAAAAATACCTTGGAAAACCTTGGTCGAGTATCTGAAATCCAACATTCAATTTTACACCCCTTTTTAGTAGTAGTTTTTGGTCCCGGGGGAGAATTCCAGGGGAATCAAATCTTCGATGAGCCCAAATTCCGATTCAACGTCGAAAATTACATGGGAATACCATGCTTCAACATATGGGCATCCAAAACCCCAATGTTCATCGCTTCTAGGGGTAGTTTTTGGACCCGAGGAAAAACTCTAGGGGTATAGGGATTTGTTCAACCACAAATTCAGCGTTTAAAAATGCAAGGGAATACCATGCTCCAGCATATGACAATTTTCATCCCTTCTAGGGTTAGTTTTTGGACCTGGGGATAAACTCTAGGGGTGTAGGGATTTTTTAACCACAAATTCTGATTCAGCGTTGAAAAATGCATGGGAATACCATGCTTCAACATATGGCATCCAAAACCCCAATGTCCATCGCTTCTAGGGGTAGTTTTTGGACCCGAGGAAAAACTCTAGGGGTGTACGGATTTGTTCAACCACAAATTTAGCGTTGAAAAATGCACGGGAATACCATGCTCCAGCATATGACAATTTTCATCCCTTCTAGGGTTAGTTTCTGGACCTGGGGATCAACTCTAGGGGTGTAGGGATTTTTTAACCACAAATTCTGATTCAACGTTGAAAAATGCATGGGAATACCATTTTTCAACATATGGCATCCAAAACCCCAATGTTCATCGCTTCTAGGGGTAGTTTTTGGATCCGAGGAAAAACTCTAGGGGTGTAGGGATTTATTCAACCACAAATTCGGCGTTGAAAAATGCACGGGAATACCATGCTCCAGCATATGACAATTTTCATCCCTTCTAGGGTTAGTTTTTGGACCTGGGGATAAACTCTAGGGGTGTAGGGATTTTTTAACCACAAATTCTGATTCAGCGTTGAAAAATGCATGGGAATACCATGCTCCAGCATTTGACAATCTTCATCCGTCCTAGGGGTCGTTTTTGAACCCGGGGTAAACTCTAGGGGTATGGGGATTTTTTTCAACCGCAAATTCTGATTCAACGTTGAAAAATGCATGGGAAAACCATGCTCCCGCATATTATAATATTCATCCCTCCTAGGGGGTAGTTTTTGGCCCCGGGGATAAACTCTAAGGGTTTATGGATTTTTTCAATCACAAATTCTGATTCAACGTTGAAAAATGTTCCAGCATTTGACAATCTTCATCCGTCCTTGGGGTAGTTTTTGAACCCGGGGTAAAGTCTAGGGGAGTAGGGATTCCTTCAACCAAAAATTATGATTCAGCGTTGAAAAATGCATGGGAATACCATGCTCCAGCATATGACAATTTTCATCCCTTCTAGGGTTAGTTTTTGGACCTGGGGATGAACTCTTGGGGTGTAGGGATTTTTACAAGCGCAAATTCCCATTCAACGTTGAAAAATGCATGGAAAAACCATGCTCCCGCATATGATAATATTCATCCCTCCTAGGGGGTAGTTTTTGGCCCCGGGGATAAACTCTAAGGGTTTAGGGATTTTTTCAATCACAAATTCTGATTCAACGTTGAAAAATGCATAGGCACACCATGTTCCAGCATTTGACAATCTTGATCTGTCCTTGGGGTAGTTTTTGAACCCGGGGTAAAGTCTAGGGGTGTATTCAGCGTTGAAAAATGCATGAGAATACCATGCTCCAGCATATGACAATTTTAATCCCTTCTAGGGTTAGTTTTTGGTCCCGGGGATAAACTCTAGCGGTGTAGAGATTTTTTCAATGGCAAGTTCTGATTCAGCGTCGAGAAATGCATGGGAACACCATACTCCGGCATATAACAATTTTCATCTCTTCTAGGGGTAGTTTCTGGACCCGGGGATGAACTTTAGGAGTGTAGGGATTTTTTCAACAAAAAATTCGAATTCAGCGTTGAAAAATGCACGGGAATAATATGCTCCAGCATATGACAATTTTCATACCTTCTAGGGGTAGTTTTTGGACCCGGAGATAAATTCTAGCGGTGTAAGGATTTTTCTACCCACAAATTCTGATTTAGCGATGAAAAATGCATGGGAATACCATTCTCCATGACAATTTTTATTCCTCTTATTGGTGGTTTTTGGACCAGGGGATTTTTTTGGACCACAGATTTGAATTGAGTGTTGAAAAGTATGATGCAGCGTCTGGTACCCGAAACTCAATTTTCACGCTTTCAAGGGGTAGTTGTTGGTTCCTGGGGTAAATCCTAGACGTATGGGAGCTTTTCTGATTCATCGCCGAAAAATACACAGAAATATCATGATCTAACTCGCGGATCTCGAGCTTTATTTTTTTTAAGGGCTATGTAAGACTTGAGAGCTGTTGACCTATACCTTAACCCTTCACATTGACAGTTGTTCTATCCATGAATCACTAGGCACGCAAGTCCTCTTGTGGGTGTCCATGATCCCTTTAGACACGAATCCTTTGCCGCAAAACGAGCAGACGTACGGTCTTTCCCCAGTGTGAGTTCTTTCATGGACCACCAAAGGTGTCCTCTGCGTAAATCCTTTGCCACAAAATTTACATATGTGAGGTTTTTCACCAGTATGGGTACGCTCGTGCTCTTTCATTTGCTCTCTCCTGGAGAACGCTTTTCCGCATATTTGGCAATCGAACGGTTTGTAGCTAGAAGAAATATTTACTTGAAATGGCTACAGAATACACACAAATTATGAGCAAATCACCTTGATGTTCTGCCACAGATGGCTGGGATTTGTTCAAAAGTTGCAATACAAATTTGAGGTAGCTGTATTATTTTTAGCTGGCCAAACTGATAGGGATGAGACGACTCGACGACATTTGCTGATTAGTTATTATATTACAAAATAGAAATGAATAAAGTACAATGGACAAAAACAGGACCAGCAAATTCCTTGGAATTATAGAATAAAAACTTCTGTATCAAGGATTGGTTCTATCAGGTTGATCAGCACAAAAGAATGCAGCTACTATTAAATAAGTTTCAGTCATACCCAGTATGAATCCGCAGATGAAACTTCAACTTCTCTTTGCTAGATAGCTTTTTGCCGCAAATGTCACAAAGAATAGAAGGATCGACTCCCTCTGCATTGTGTTTGCTTAAGTTGTGACGTTTCAGCCCTGAGGCAGAAGTATAGTGCTTATTGCAGGCGACACAATCGTATTTCACCAACGGGCTACCTATTAACAGAACCAAAATGTAGTACCCAAAACCAGAAGGAATGGAAATACATCTGGTGGTATCCAAGGGATACCCTAAAAAAATAGAAGTGTATTTATCTCAGGATTTTTTCGTGGTGACCTTGGAATTGACAGGACAATTTCTTTAAATGACGCTCTATACTTTTGATCCCAAAAAAGGATAGAACGGAAAGTTTTGTTATATGAACTTGGATTAAAATTATTTTCATCTCGAACGTCCCTGTATAAAAGTAAAATTTTCTGCGCTAAAACGTATAGGGTCGTGCAAATTGTGTAGACTTTGATTTGACGTTCAAGGTCATGTACAAGGTCAAATTCAAGGATGTTATAACCCATGAATATTCTCAAATATCTTGCTGTTTCGCGACATTTGGATCACCCTGTATAAGATTAGCAACAAAACTAACTAGCTAGATCAACTAGGAAACATTTAAATATGACAGCTAAACGTCATCAGTTGAATACTATTTCGATACATAAAAAAAAGTTGGACTTATAAATGATATATTTTAGTATTTTTTCAGTTACCAGATGTTTTAACAAAATCGCCCGAGAAAAAATTATTTATTACCTGTCATGATCTCCCAATGTGCCGACCTTCGATGCGATGACAGAAACCAAGAGAACATAAAATGTTTGCCACAGATCTCGCATTCAAATGGCTTTTCTCCGGTGTGAAAGTTCTTGTGTTCGTTGGCGTGCGTACTGATAGTAAAGCCCTTTCCACAGATTTCGCATTTGTACTTGCTGCTGCCATCATGAGTCCTCATGTGGATCTTGATATTATACTTGACCAAATTCCTATGTAGAATAGAATATACAATGTGTTGAACAAGTATTTCTCGATACGAGTCATAATTGAAACAATGGGGCACCAAGTTATTTTTTAAATAAAGTTGTTACATGTCATAGATCCTTAACTGGTTTGCTTAGTTATAATAAACTTCAGAGCCAAGCAAGTCGAAGTTCCCATCTCGGAAATTGGAAACTTCGAAAAATTGGTTATACAATACTTTTCAAAAAGGTGCCCCCACTTTTCAGGTGAAGTTTCTGAAACTTGGGATAATAACTTTAAAACGATTGATATTTTTTCCAAATATACTAAGTGACATATAAATCCGAACACCCAGGTTTTATTTTAATAAAATTTTGTATATGTACTTAATGAAGCATAATAAGAAAATGATGAAATTTCAAAATGATTGCACTGCTTTAAAGGTGGTCAATGTCCTTCTGTGGTATCTCATTCCAGGCAACCACCAACTCCTCTCGAAGTGCTTCTACAGTATGAGGAGGACGTTGCAAATTGAGCAGTCTCCTACCCATCATATCCCACACGTGCTAAATTGAGGATAAGTCGGGAGATGATCTTGGTGGCCATGGTAACAATGTGACATCATTATGTTGAAAGAAGTCTATTGTGACTCTTGCAACATGTGGTCGGGCATTATCTTGTTGGAAAGTTGGATCTGCCAGGGTGTCAAGATAGGGTAAAAGATGGGGTTCTAGAACTTCGTGGATATAACGCTGCGCGTTCATGTTACCTCTGATGAAGATTAAAGGTGACCTGGAACCATAAGCTATAGCACCTCAAACCATAACTCCAACAGTGTGATGAACATGTCTTTCAACAAAAAACTGTGGATTCCTCCTTTCACCACGTCGCCTTCTAACCCTGGCTCGACCATCGTGCAAACCTAAACAAAATCGAGACTCGTCACTAAAGACAATACTGTTCCATTCCTGATCCCAGAGTGACCGTTGTCTGCACCACTCAAGGCGATTACGTCGGTGTTCTCGAGTTAAAGGGAGGACCCAGTGTGGCCGTATTCTGCAAACCATTCATTTGCAATGGACCTTGTAGTGGGGAAACAGTCCCTTAAGGCCAATAATCTTAGGCGGCGATCTTCACGGTCTGTTGTTCTACGGCGGCGTCCAGTGGCCCCTTGCTCTTTGCGTACGGCCTTCTCGAAGCCATGCCTGACAACACCTAACCACAGTGTCTACACTTCTTTGCACTCTAACTGCGATTGCCCGAAAAGAAAGTCCAGCTTCCCGAAGTCCCACTATACGGCCCCTATCAAACTCACTAAGTTGACGAAATCGTACAGGTCTCCGTACTCTAGGCATCGTAACCGATCGTAAAGGATGTCAAGAACCAAAATCCGCCAACGTTGATTCTTTACTGAGGCTGAAATATTCATTTTTAGAGCGTTAGTGAATTAAAAAAAAGCAGTATAAAAACCGGAATGTCCAACTGATAAGGCTGAAAATTTGTTCACTTGTTATTTACAGTAAGATAAATACATTCACCAACTTTTATTAAAATAAAACCATTTAAACTGGGTGTTCGGATTTATATGTCACTTAGTATAGTTTTATCCAAATTTTGAGTAACGACTATCCTCTGATATCTTGGTGCCCAACATTCCTTTGAGAGACGGATCAAACAATACAATACCTGTAATCGCACAAATGGCAAGAATATTTCCCATCCTCGTTATGAGCTATAGAATGCACCCCATAATCCACGTTGTTCTTGAACGTCTGATCACAAATTTCACAGTGCACTGGTTCGTCCAGATCCTGTGGTTCCTCTTTGGGTGCAGCCTTCTTTTCCTTCCTCTTTCTTTTACGTTTTATTGTCGGTATTGGAACTAGTGCTGGCATTTGGGACACCGACGGCATTGAAGCGGCATCCGTTCGCAAAGGTTCATCTTGAAACTCCATTTTTAGTCCGTTTTGAACTTGCGACGGGGGTATTGGTATTATCGACAGCCCGTTCTCTAACAATATACTATTTATGATTGGTGCTCCAAATGGCCTAAAATAATGAGAGTGTGAGTACAACATTTAATGGCAACATGTAACACACCATCAATACCGATATAATACAAATGTATAAACATGATATGCTCGTATCGTATCAAGTTTTTATCCTATTTATATTCACGTTCTATCCGCGGTTTAACGCTAAGTACTTCTGCATCAGTTCGCTATAAATATTTGTTACAGGGCTTTGGCCTATAAGGGCATTTTTACTTTTTGAAATCTTACCCAGCTAGGCTTGTTGAGAGAAAAAGATGTAGGTACTCCTTCCCTTTTTGTGATGTACTTAGGTGCTATTGAATCCCGAAGATTTTTCGGTTTTTTTTCAAATATCTCAACCGCATTAGAAGATTTTTTGGTTTTGTTTGCGTAAAATTAAAGGACTTTGAAGCGCGCATGAAATACATTTTTTCCAAACCTTTTATACGGGAAAATTTAATTTTTTAACCCTCAAAATTATTTAATTTTTTTATTAAAACCTATTGACCTACGTTATGAACTTTTTCTTAATTTTTGAGTGGGTGTTCTGTTTTCTTCGTTATTTTTAATATGTTTTTAGAAAAAACCTTCGGCTTTCTTATTTTTTATCATTCTAAAGAATAGAGGTTTTAAATAGCTGGATTGAAAAGTTTTAAAATGGGCGGGTAAAAACATTGTTTTACTCAGAAACAGATTCAAAAAATGTTTTTACCGGTTCAACTAAAACTTTTTCAGGCTAAAAAAATATTTGAAATCGCTATTCGCAGAAAAATAATACAATAATACAACCAAGTTTTTTCTAGAATATCAAGAAATAGCGAAAATAGGTTTTTAATTTTTTGACCTCCAATCACCCTCAAACAATACGTAAAGATCCATGAACGTGGATCTACTAGAGACAAGTCACATATACTTTTTCATTATAACGTGGGTCAATAGATTTTGTTAAAAAATATTGAAAAATTTTAAATCCTAAAAAAAATTTAACCACCCGCGATAAAATTTAAAAAAAATAATTCATGCACGAATACCTTTAATTTGGCGTAAGCAAAACTGACAAATGTTTTAATGCAACTGAGATATTTGAAAAAAAAATAATGGAAAATCTTCGTGAACCAACGAAATATTTTCTGAAGCACCTAAGTAAATCAAAAAAAAAAGAAGGAAAAAGGGAAAGAGCACGTCTTTTTATTCTCAACAAGCCATGCAGGGTGAGATTACAAGAAGTGAAGAGGCTGATTACGCGTCAAGGCCTTTTAAAACAAAATTTGACATAAATATGATCAAAAAATGCAACGATCGCGAATTATATGCTGAAGAAGCCGAGACAATGTCGTTCCAGTACTACATGTAGTTCTGATAGCATAAGCATAAAAAAGAAGCCTATTTTCCACTAGCTGTCCTTTTTTTGTCCACCACGCGGGCGGTGATTGGTGTACCCCCCACTATGCACTTCGCTCCCGGCGAATAAGATTCTTATAACTAAAAATGCTGTCCACTTTATTTGTCAAGATTACGTATAATTTACATTCAAATTACAAACATTTGCATTTCTATATCATTCTTTTTCCATTTTATGACGTCGCTTGTGGCGAGACAACACATAATTTCTGGGAAACCCTTTTCCACACTCATCACACCTATACGGCCTTTCGCCTGTATGTAGTCGTCTGTGACATGTCAAAGCATAATTTCTGGAAAAAGCCTTATCGCACTGGTCACATTCATACGGTTTTCCAGCTACGTGAAACTTTCGGGTATGTTTGTTGGTTGCACCGATCTCACCAGATTTTTCGAAAACCTGAGTCGATAGAAAATCGATTGGATTCAAATCTCCGTCGCTCGGGTTGTGTAATATCCCTTCAGGCGTGGAGCTACCACTACATTCACTACAGGTTAATGAGTCTCCTGTCTGGTCGTATGCTGTATACTCTTTGCTACACTTGGTGCATATACGTTGTCCTATTTCTTGCTTGATTTCAGTATCAGTAATGTATTCAGGATAGTCATAAAACTCATCCAATTTTTCGCATTTGATAAATAACCTAAAAAATAATGTATCACAACAGGAGTATCAAAGAAATAGGTCACAAAATAAGTTCGACGAGGCTTTGTTGTACAGTTTGTACCTACCTTAAAAAAAAGTAAAGGAATTCAAAGTTTCTAAAATGGTGAACCGTTAGACCTACTATACAGGGTGTCCGCAAAGTTGGGGTTTTCCTTTTCAGAAACAACTACCCTTGAAATAACAAAGGTAATGTGTAGTGAAACGAGGGCGACCAAGTAAAAAAAAATAAAGAAAAAAGTACTCACTCTCCAGTTGACGAGAAGGGCTAAGTACGTCTCTGCCCGAAATCATACCGCTCCAACAGAAAATGAAATCAGCTGATGCGCTACCGAGCAGACGCAGGCAAACTAGGAAGGCAAAATGTTGCGTAAAAAGTCTAGGTATTGCATCCCGTCCAATCGATTTGGGAGAATAAATGGTCCAATGAGCATACGGTTCACCATGCCAGCCCAAACATTCACCGAAAATGTTTGTTGAAAATGTGCCTGACGGACAGCGTGCGGATTTTCTACTGACCAAACATGAGTGTTACGAGAGTTATTCACCCCATTACGCGTGAACGTAGATTCGTCTGTCACCAATATGCACTTCAAAAAGTTCGGATTATTGTCATGTTGATGCAACAACCACTCACAAAACCGCACTCTTGCTACGCGATTACCTCTACACGCGTGACCGTAACCGTCGGTTGAAGGTTGCATACTGACCTGACACACTGACCCCGACCCAGTTCTGTCGCCGGGTTGAGCTAGTGTCCCAGTACCAGTCGGGGATGTCGCGGCTACAGGACGGTATTCAGATATGTTTGATGTTGCAGAGCCCTTTATCTCGGTTCCCTTAAGACATTGGTGTATATGGTACTAAGAAAAATTGCTTATGTTTTCAAGATCTACACGTCGTGTAAAGGAAAACCCCAACTTTGCGGACACCCTGTATATGGTAGATTGTTGAACAATTTTAACACCATACGGAATAAGCAACACGATGCAAGAAATCTAAGCTTCTATTAAAGGCGTACTTAGTTTTTACTTTCAGTACTGAAAGCATATTATACCCACCTCTTTGCTTTCGGTTTATGTTTCCAAGACTAGACCTGTATCGTACTGATGAGTGCTTACAAGCACGTAACACCGTTGTCTGCTATTGGTCATGGTGACAGAGAGTAAAAAACATATGAAGTTCAATTTATATTATGCTCTAAATGTCAGCAAAGGTTTCAGCTACTTTATTTTCATTAAAGTTTGATTAGGTAGCAAAATGGTAACATATAGTCAACGCCAAACAAAGTGGCGTGCACGTCATCAAGGTGGGTGTGTTGAAAAATTTACATTGTTGCCAAACTTTTTGTAAAATAATAAAATTTATTATTTACATATCTAGGTTTATAAGCAATATTAACCTCAAATGAGAACAAAAATAATAGTATAATAAAATTATAGATCTGTACTTGCATAATCATTAAGTATGACAATTATTGATCAGAAGACACTATGAAACTACCATATTTAATTGATAGCTTAAAGGTACTGAATAAAAATCCAAATGGGGTCCTCCAAATTTTATGCATGGTATTTATTTTACAGAATTCATACAGAAAAATGCATTCTAAAATTAGGTAAGCTACTGGTGTAAGCTTTTTCTGTACAATAAAGTTAGTCGGAGTTTATTTCTTCAGCGCTGTCTGAATCTGAATCTTCATCACTCTCAAAGTTGATTATTAAAGGTTCGATGTCTGGTCGATCAAAAATTCGTTCTCTTTCATACCATTTAAAAATTTCTTGCTCAGTATGTCGAACACTATTTTTCCACATGTCTGGGGTAACCGTTTGTAGAGCCTCGTTCCACATATCCAAACAGTCTTTTTCACTGTTACCATCTCTACCAATATGTCTGTTATAGTAACCTTTTGCTATGCCCCAAATTAACTCAATAGGGTTAAATATACAATGGTAAGGAGGCAGACGAAGAACTTTGTGCCCATGTTGTTCCGCCAATTCATCAATCACGTATATTTTAGGTGGTTTGTTTCTAAAAAAGCAGTTATTTAAAGAATAGGAATAAACAAAAGAAATATAAACTGTCGACCAAAATATATATAATTAAGAAGCATTATGTACCGAGCAACAATACTCAATAGCTCTGTTTTAAACATTGTGTTTAAGAATGGTATGTTTTGATTTGTCAACCAGTCTTGGATATTTTTTTTTGTCCATGCATTGTTTTTGTTCAATATCATGCTGTGATAAGGGGCGTTATCCAGTATAATCATAGATGGACTCTCCAATTTTTCTAATAACTGATGTTGAAACCATTTCAAAAAATTGTCCTGGTTCTTCTTTATAGTGCAAATTGTGTAAAAGTACATACCTTTTACCATCTGTTTTAATAGCTTTCACGCTTTTTTGGTTTCCATTTTGTCAAGAGCGACCTATGGTCCCATTTTGAAATATCCAAGTTTCATCGAGGAAGACAAACTGGTATAAGGCCTCAACCTTGGCTTGATTGTATTGCCTTAGAAATTCCACCCTTTTCAAAGCTATACTTGGTAGTTCCATGAGCCCTCGTCGCGGATTGTCCTTAAGCCACTTAAATCCAAGATCTCTAAGCAACCGCCTTAAAGACGTGGCACTACCATCAAATAATGCCCTATCTCTTAATCGAGACCATAAAGTTTGTATCGTAACTTGTTCTTCTGAAACCATGTGTAATATGACATTATAATTTAGTTAACAAATTAATGCAAATTTCTGATAAGTTATTATAATAAGATCTTACTTTTGTGATACATATTATAGATCACTTCTCGAATGGCACTTGTATCCAATGTCGCTGTGTTGGTTACACGTTTAATATAACTCCGCTTTTTCGGCGATTCTAAATTTGCATCACTTTTCACACCCTCGGAAATACGACTAACTGTCCTTAAACTAATTTTTAAAGCAGCAGCAACACGCTACAAAAAATGAAATAAAATTTCACTATTATTAATATACATTACATATAATTATTAGTAACCTACCTCTTGAACAGCATTTAAAGGCAACAAAGGCCCGTTGTTGTCCCTTTCTTGCTCAAAGTAGTGCATTAACGAGGCCACGAGTTCCTTACACCGACTATTTAACTGTTTGGGCGCCTTTATATACCAAAATTGCCTTTATCTACTCGTAAAATGAATAATTTTGTTTTGAAACAAACAGTTGTTGATTTACAGTATGCGGGGCCAAAGGATTTATAAAGATTTGAAATGCCACAAATTGATTCAGTGTCAAAATTAATACAAATGTCAGTTCCCAGTTTAAATAAGTTTCAAGGTGACAATGTGTCAACGCTGCGAAATCGGCTTAGTGCGTTTACATGTCGATAAGTGATTGGAGCGTTTGCAAAACATTTTATTTCGCATAATGCGTCTAAATTTATCAGAAAGCAACTTATGTGATATTTTAATAACAATGTTTATATGACTATTAACTATAATAAGAGAGTAATGACCATTTTACAATTTATATATCACATTAATATGAAACTGCAATAGAGCAATTGTTTGTGATAGAAACCTAGGCATTAGGTCGGGGAATTTTTATCGTGATGACGTGCACGCCACTTTGTTTGGCGTTGACTATACCTGTACATATGACTTAAATATTTTCTTATCATGGAAATACACATACATTTAGCACAAAAAATCACGAAGTCTTATGAAACTATAACTAAAAAATCACTTTTAAAAATGCTTAAGTAAAATACATTGACTAGAATGATGCACAATTTCATTTTTTAATTTTTATGTAGGTTTCGCGATGTAGTACTTAGAATACAGACTGCATTTAGTACAAGAGAGAATCAAAAAATATTTGTACAATATCAACTTTCATTAGATGGTCTTAGTAATCACAAATTCCGTATTCCTCAACGTTAACGTTCGCTTTTCTGACATTTAAGTCATCGACTGTATGAGATAAACGCCATATTAAGTTCCAATTAACTTTTATATTTCTGATTGCCAAATCACTCTATCATCCCAAAAACGAAAAGCTAAAACTAGTTAATAGTTATATATTTTACTAAGACTTCTGTAACATTTGCACGTGTAATTTTTCTTTATTTGGCACTGTCTTGAGATATGTGTCTTAAGGTAAAACTTGCTTCTAACTGTTTTGTTGCTTTTGGTAATTTTCTTCTGAGGCCAGAACATTTTTCAACATAGCAATCTTGCTTTTTTAAACACACCTAAAGCAGCTTTTATACACTGCTGCTGCAAAGATGTCAATATATCATGAAAGCCACAAATAATAAATAAAAATCAATGTCTTTGGTTTGTCCACTTGTACGCATCTGATAATATTGATAAGAAAAGATCCAACAATATTTTGTGGGACACATTGCTGCTACATTAATAATAATATGATCAAAACTTGGCGAATCATAGTTAGTTTCTTGAGAAATATAGTACTTATCTCAATGGATGCTGCTTTTTATTGTGCAACCACAGAGAATTTCCGAAGTTCCACTTTCAAGAGTTTTCCATCTGCTTGGTTCAACTCTTCTTTGGCCATATTTGTGACGTCGTTTTATGGCCTCTAGTACAATTATTTCTCTTGATGCAAGTTTCATCTAAGTTAATATTAATTTATTTTTCATCGTTAAAGGTTTTAGGAAAAACGGTTTTGGTACGTGTCTCTTTTTTTATTTGGGACTGTCTCAGTATCCTATTCATCGTGAGTAATGTACCTTTTTATTGCGAAGAGAATACTTCCAAGTTTGATAGTTTAGTTTTTCGCGTCTTGCAAGTTCCACTTGTTTTTGAAGGTTGGAATAATAAGTTGTTTCTTTTGAATGCGTTATAGTTATACAGGGTGACAGGTAAATAGGTGTAAAACATTTTAGGAGGTGATAGTACAGCCCCTTTGCTATCGAAATTAGTATATAATACCATACCCTATATTCAAAGGTTGAAAAGTTATTGAAGATTTAAGATTTTTTTAAAAACTCCATATTTCAGAGTAAAAAAGTCGAGAGAGAAAAAAGTTGGCGATTAAATATTTGTTTTTTGTGGTTTTGGGTTATTATTTCAATAATTAACTATTATAAATTGAAAAAGATTCGAAAACAATACCAAACAACGTATTTATTTTCATGCAAAAATGTTTAACTAAGAAAAACAAATAACGTTTTACAGTAAGTAAGGTGTTTTACAAAAAAATCAGTATACAAAAAAACGTACAAACAATTTAAATAATATCCTTGTTTCATAAGGAATCTAAATTGGTATGATGAGTGCACAAAAACTGTGTGAAACTAAACATAATGTATTGTAATACAACAATAGGGAGTAAATTTACCAACGGCTTGTCTCCTATTTTCACAACTCTCTGATTGATAAGAAAGTGTTTTTGTGGAAATAATGTAACTGTAAGCTATGAGATAGTTATTATTTTAAACTACGGTTAAGTTACTCGATTAGATTATTTACACAGTTGCAATTGTACTACAGAATAATAAAAACTGACTAAAAGTTACTACAATTGGTAAGTAAAATACAATAATGAAATGAAGGTAAAATTCATTGCAATTGTTGTTCGAACTGACGCCCGCCGTTTCTTATGCAAGCCCGTAGTCTTTTTCTCATGTTGGTACGCGTGATGCGGCCAGTTAGTTGTCCTCTGATAGTGTCAGCAGCAGCAATAATTCTTTCTTTCAACTGTGCAAGAGTGTCTATGGGCTCTGCGTACACCAGTGACTTCATGTGCCCCCATAAATAATAGTCACACGGTGTTAAATCTGGGCGCCTCGCTGGCCACGGTGTCGGTCCACCACGGCCAATCCAGCGACAAGGATATTTCTCGTCCAGCCACTGTCTAACACCCAGATGGAAATGCGCGGGACAGCCATCGTGTTGGTAGACCATCTGCATCCTGATATTCAGAGGCAGGTCTTCGAGATACTCCCAGAGTTCGGATCTCAAAAAGTTTTCATAGGATTCGCCATTCAGGTTGTCAGGCAAAAAAACTGGTCCAATTAGATACGTATGAATGATTCCCATCCACACGTTTGCCGAAAATCTTCTTTGATGGGCTCTTGGCTTTGCCATGTGGGGATTTGCCTCTCGTGGGGCCCAATAATGTAAGTTGTGATAATTTGTTGTACCCTCTCTGTCAAACTTAGACTCGTCGCTCCACAATATTTTAGTTAAATAGTCGTTTTCTTCTTGATCCCGATGAAGCATGTATTGACAAAAATCAATTCTTCTTGCGGGATCTCCTTCTTCTAATACTTGAACCGGTGTGTAATGGAAAGGGTAAAGTCTCGCCGAATGCAAAACGAACCAAACTTTCCACTGAGTTAAACCAGGCTGCTTTGCTATAACTCGTGTAGACGTCGTCGGGTCTCTGCCGTAGCATTCCAGTATTGTCACTCGATCTTCGTCGTCAAACAACCGAGGTCTACCAGCATCTTGACGTCTCTCACGAACCTGTCCACTTTCCTTGACGCGTTGGTACACAGAAGCAAATACTCGATGACTCGGTATTCGCCGATTCGGAAAACGGTTTTCGTATTCTCGCCTGGCGTCAATGGAATTTCCATCACTTAAACCGTAACAAAACAGAATATCAGCGTATTCTTCGTTACGGTAACTCGCCATTATTAAAACTGATCAAAAAAGTAAAAGTACGTCCTACCGCGTTAAAGGTTGATATTCTACTAACTAACCTAAGCGTTAGTTCCCTTTCCTTGATCCGTCAGCTGTGTCAATTCATAACACGCGCAGAGCTTGCCTCCGAGGAGCGACGACAGCGGTTTCAATCTCCAGGAGGCAACCGGTCTCGTCCTGCTGGACGTGGAACGAGCCTTCGACCGAGTTTGGCACGATCGACTCATCGCCAAAATGGAAGCCGCCGGAATCGATGCAAACATGTGCCAACTGATCCAGAGCTATCTAACACAAAGATGGTTCACGGTGAAGATTGGTACATGCCATTCAACAAGACGACAGCTGGAAGCAGGCGTGCCCCAGGGGTCAGCCTTAGCTCCCCTGCTCTACAACATCTATACTCACGATGTGCCGAAGACAGCTGACACAATGCTGGCCCTATATGCAGACGACACTGCTATAGCCGCCAAGCATAGACGACACGAGATCATCCGTAGGAGACTACAGGATGAACTGGACCACATCCAGGACTGGTGCGTGAAATGGAAAATCCGCATCAACGTCCAGAAGACGCAGGCAATCTTCATTCAACGAAGAAGGATTGCAAGACCTCTCGAAGCATCCATCTTCGACGAAGATATCCAGTGGAGCGACAAAGTCAAATATCTGGGGATCGTATTTGACAAGTCCCTCACCTGGAAAGCCCACATAGAAGCTGTCATCGCAAAGACCAGAGCAGCCATGGCTCAACTCTACCCATTACTGGGTAGACACAGCCGGATGCCGCTAGCGACCAAGCTACGGCTGATCAAGGCCATCGCCAGACCTCAGCTCGCTTACGCCTCCGCGGTCTGGGCGTACGCTGCCCCCAGCTACCGCAAGCGACTTGCTGCTCTAGAGATGAAGCTACTCCGGATCGCCACCAGTGCACCATCCTACGTAAGAAACTCAACCTTGCGTAGAGACCTGCATTGGGACACCATCCATGAGTACATGAGGAAAAAAGCGGAGAAGACCTTCGAGAAAGCTCAGGACCACCCGAACGAGCAGCTACGATTCCTCATGGACTACGATCCGGACGAGAGGCCTCGCAACCGCAGAACCAGGTACCCTAGGCCAAGGTCCCAGTTGGCACCCGCTAACTGGAACCTTGACTAGGAGACTAGGAGAACCCGCGGTTGCTCCCCCCCCCCCCCACGACGTGGATGCAGAGGACCAGGAACCACCGGGACCAGGACCCACCGGGACCAGGACCAACCAGGACCAGGACCCGCCACGACCAGGACCCACCAGGACCAGGACCCTTCAGGACCAGGACCAGGAACAACATATTGGTAAGAGGACTTGAAACTCTTGATTTTTCGAAAACAAGAGTTTCAAGAGAACCTAGCAGACCCTCTATCGATGATCGCTTAACGACATCGATAGAATGTGCGAGGTAAAGGGAACCAACCCGGCGTTCCCAGAGACTGAAACACATGAGGAGACGTTGTAGCAGACACGCACAACACATGGCCTACCGAGACGCTGATGAGTCGGGCCACGCGGAGGTTTAGGGTTTAGTGGGTATTAGGTGATCTCCTCAAGACCCTGGAGTCCCACACACGCCGTAGCTCGGGCTATGGGCGTAAATGCATTCAAAAAAACAAAAAAAAAAAAAAAAAAAAAAAGGCACAAAAAATAACAAGAAGGGTCAAACCATGAAAGGCTCGGTTTACCTGCTCAGTACAATGAAATGCGCTTAGCGGTCCTTTCTAGCAAAGTAATATTGTTTTGTTAAATGGTTTACTTACTGATATGTTATTATACCATTTTAGAAACCTAATGAAACGAGGAAGTTTTTGCAGTTATTTGTACATTTTCTTTATTATGATTTTTTTGAAAAAAAAAGACTTCTTAATGTGAAAGTTGAAAATAAAAATTTTCATTTAACATTTAAATGAAAATAAATACGTTTTCAGTAGTGTTTTCATATGTTTTTTAATTTATTGGAATTATTTATTTAAATAATAACCTGGAACCACCAAAAAAAGAATGTTTAATCACCAACTTTTTTTTATCTCAACTATTTTACTCTGTAATCTGGGTTGTTTTTTAAAAAAAATTAAATCTTCCATAACTTTTTAACCTTTGAACATAGGGTATGGTATTATATACTAATTTTGATAGCAAAGGAGCTGTACTATCACTTCCTAAAATGTTTTACACCTATTTAACTGTCACCCTGCATATATTACTAAAACTTCTGTTACGTTTTTGGCACATGTAAGTTTTTTTTTATTTGGCACTGTCTCAATGTCCTATTCATCTTGAGTAGTGTACATTTTTATTATGCAGAGAGTACTACTAAGTTTGAAACTGTGTCTTTCGCTTATTGCAAGTCCCACGCGTAATTGGTTTTTCACCTTTTGTCAAGACTTATTTTTGGAGGTTGAAATAATAAATTCTAGTTTGTTTTTCTTGATGAAATTCGTATCTAGAGTTTTTCATAATGAAAGATTTACTTTGTCTTCGTTTGGCGCTGTCTGGATCTTATCTCAATGAATGCACCTTTTTATTGTGCAAACACAGAGCACTTCTGAACTTGAAGCTTTCCTCGCAAATATGACACTTGTGCGGCGTCTCCCCTGTATGGCTAGGCATATGATCGGCAAGTACATTACTCTTTGCAAAACACTTGCCGCAAACGTAGCATCTGTATGGTTTTTCTTTTCGATGAACTTTACTGTGATCTTCGAGACCTGTTCGGTGAACAAAACTCCAACCGCATTCTTTACATTTGTATGGTTTCGTCGTATCCGCATGTGTCTTCATATGGTGCGTAAGTAGGTACTGCTTGATGAAGGCTTTATCACAGTTTGGACATTTGAAAGGTCTTTCGCCGGTATGGATAGCCATATGTTGCAACAATTTATCTTTCTCAACAAACCCTCGATCGCAAATAACGCATACGAAAGGTTTTTCGCCGGTGTGAGTTCTCGTGTGTACCACCAAGGCGTCATTTTTCTTGAAACCCTTTCCGCAAATTTTGCACTGGAATGGTTTTTCATCGCTGTGGGTGCGCATATGATGAGCTAGGCCACCACTCGCCCTAAAACGTTTCCCGCATAGACTGCAACTGTATGGTTTCTCTCCAGTATGCGTACGGATATGTATTGTTAGAGATTCCGTTTTATTGAACGACTTTTCACATTCAGTGCACTTGAATGGTTTGTCTCCAGTGTGTATCCGCTCATGTGACGACAGTTTGTATTTGTCAGTGAATGATTTGTTGCAAGTTCCACACTTGAACGGTTTTTCGCTTGCATGGCACAACTTGTGCTTTTTGAGGTTGAAACTAGTAGAAAATTGTTTATTGCACTGGTCACATTTGTAGGGTCTTTCGATTACATCTACCACTACTTCTTTTTCTGATGTAGAAACCTCGCATCTAGAGTGGATGCTCATGTGTTTATCATAGTTATATATTTTACTAAAACTTCTGTCGCATTTTTTGCACGTGTATGCTTTCTGTGTTTGGCACTGTCTTGAGATATGTTTCTTGAGGTAAAACTGTCTACGAAATGTTTTGTTGCAACTTTCGCATTTGTAACATTCGGTAGTCTCATGTTTTAGCAGGTGTTTTCTGTAAGTTTCCTCCGAGGTCAGAATTTCTTCACAAGTTTCACATTTGTACACTTTTTCTACGGAATCGTTTAAAATAGGTTCAGCTATAAGAATATAGTCGGGACCCAACTGGTCTCTACGATCCGAAAACAATACATTGAGTAGATCGTACTCTTCTGGTGTCAGGTCTTCATTGAGTATTAAAGGTTCCTCAACAGACTCCAAAGAAATTTCAATTTGTTGAAAATTGATATCGTTGATGGCCTCATGTATTTCTAGTCACAAACATTTCTCGTGAATCTGCTTGGATGCCTGTTGACTTGGTGACCTAAAATATTCATTATCAATAATGGTAATTAAAAGTATCTAAAGTGTATCTAACGAAGCTACAAAGTAATCGTAAACAGTGGTTGATTCGTGATCAACGCGTGATCGGTAGCCATGGCGCTCTGTCGGCCTCTTCCTGATTGGCTTGTAGTGACGAGCCTCCAGACAAAGTCGCACGGTTGCCACGCTCGGCGAGTTTTCGCCAGAGTGGTTGATCACATTCGCATGGATCACAAATCAATCTGTTGGTGCAATACGTGCAATAACTATTGTAAAGGACATTATATAACAATAAATGGCATCACAAAGGTATATTCCAATTTGATCTGCAGCAAATTATGAACGGCATATACGGAGATGCGAAAACAAGCTCAAAAAGGTGAAGAAAATTTTTGTGCAATCTTTATAGTTAAATTTTTCCTAAGAGATAGCATCAGTGAGGGAATTTTTTTCTATTGTCTTATTTTTCACATTAATGCGATGTCGAGGTATGTGGCCCTATCGCAATTGAAAATAAGGTTTCGATAATCCTTCCATAAAGTTTCGATGAGTACATCTGAAATAACCTTGAGATATTCTTCAGGGAAATACAAAAATCTCCTTTTGTGTTTTTTTGTGCAGATTTATCTATTAAAATCCTATCCGCAATCTATTTTCCGTGCACACACCTTCAACCGAATGTATGCCATATATGATATTACCGTTTCCAACTTTCACCAAGGTTAATAGGAACCATAACAGCTCCCTACCCTTCCCCCCTATAAGAATATCGATTTGTAGCCTCACATTTCAAGGTTAGACTTCTTATAATGTTTCTGTTCAACATTCGGCGATTTTTGACAATTTCCCAATAAAACATGATCATTGTGACATTAAGCCTGGCAACGCTGCATAGTAGAGGGAACTCTCAGCGTCACGTTGATGGTTCGTCACCACGCACAGGATTGTAATCAGTTACGGATACCCGTTTATGAGCGCGAACGTTTTATGCACGTCTTGACTTGATTTTTCTTGCGGAAATTTAATATTAGTCTAAAATGTCTGACACAGATACAGCTGATGAAGTGGTTGAAATCAGCTTAACGCCACCCAGAAAAAGGGCTAAAAAGCCTGGTTCAAAAAAATTTTGCCGACACTTGATGATAACGCAATTATTGTGATGGATAATGCCCCGTACCACTCCAGAAAATTGGAAAAAATTCCAACAATGGCCACCAAAAAGGCAGACATTCAACAGTGGCTTGTCTCAAAGAAGATCGACTTCGACCAAACAATGGTCAAAGCTGAGCTGATAAATATAGTCAAGCGACATAAGTATAAATATGATTTAAAAATTGTTGACGAAATGGCCAAAAACCAAAATAAAACGATTCTCAGGCTGCCTCCCTATCACTGCGAACTGAATCCTATCGAGTTGATTTGGGCCGACATCAAGCAATACGTGACGTCAAATAACAGCACTTTTAAGTTTTCTGACCTTAAAAAACTGTTTGATGTTGCTGTCGATAGAATTACGCCAGCAAAATGGAGAACAAGTATTGACCATGTCTAAGAGAAGGAACCAAAATGTGGGATATGGACAATATCATTGACACCCAAGTTGAACCCCTTATAATTGACATCAACAATTCTGATGATTCAAGCTCCTCGGAATACAGCATATAAATCGATTGATACCACTAAGACTGTCAGTTTAACGGGCTTTTTGGCAAGACAGGTAAGTTCATTATAGACTGCAATCAAAGTGTATGTTTCTAGTTATTAATGTGGAAATTCTAAATTTATAATTACACAAAATTAGGGTTAATTTAGGAGTTCCAAAGCATAATAGTGCCATTTTGATCTTCTTCCTATTTCTCATGTAAATTTTAATAGCAATCAAACTAACAAACTTTATGGAGTCTGTAATAAACTTTTGTACTACTACTACTACGTCTGTAGTTTCTATTTGCTCAAAAAAATTTGCTCTGCATTGTGAATAGAAGGTTGATTTGTAAATATTATTGGGTATATATGTAAGTTAATAATAAAATATGAACAATTTCAATTGAGATGGTCCACAAGTTTTTTTCGTGTGCGTTTTGGTAACATTTTGCTGAAATGGTGAATACAAAATTTTTTGCACTGATTCCTAATGTCGAAATATGATTAGAAAGGCATGGTATATTCCTGATAATTTACTATGCTTTTGATAGAATTTACAGCAACACATATCTTGTACGACATTTTTTGATAGATCAGTCACAATAGCTTGATACGGCCCTGTAGCGTCTCCTACGGTTAAGTTCTTGATCACGTGCAATACGGGTGTATATGTTTGATTTTACTTTGTTTCTTCGATGTATACAGTTTAAGCAGGAACGTCCAGAATGCAGGATTTCGGGATTTAGTACAAAAAATACAGATTGCGTTTAGTAAATCAGTGGTCGCAAACATTTCCAGTGTTTTGAGCTACTTGATAGTTTTGAAATAAACAGTGAGCTACCTAGTCGTAAGCAATGTAAGTCAAATTAAATGAAATTATACACGGTTGAATGCGACATACCTACATGTGTTTACTTTACTAATACATACTAATAAACTTAAATAAACTAATAAATAATACATGCTATATACATTGCTACCAATCGTAGGTGTTTGAAAAATAAACACAATTTTTCGTCAGCTAAAAAAAATAAAAAAGCAAAACATGTCCAGATCAAAACATGCGTGTCCAATGAGAAGCCGGACACTCGGACTCACTGACAATTTTTTTAATGTTTGGAGTATAATTTGTATACGATATTTGTTTTTATTAAACTTCATTTTTGAAAAAGGAGATTCACACAAATAAGTTGAACTAATTAACGCTTTCACTTTCAAGGCAATACCACCTAAAACTGAATATTTACTTACTGAAGGCCACATGCATTTTGTATTAAAGATTCATGATTTTAAAGCTAAATCATTTTGAAACGTAGCGATGTCTTCGCTAAAATTCTGCGTAACAGTAGTTGCAAACTGTTGAATCTCAATTTCCATGAAGGGTGAAACAACAAATTGCGCTACTATAGCAATTTTGTTGAAATCCTTCATACGATTTTTGAAGTTATCCTTCAACTTAGCGACTATTTATACATGATATTTACTGCCATATGGTTCTAATGGACTTACGTTAACGTCCGCCTTTTTTGACATGTAAGTCATTGTTTGGTATGAGGTAACTTAAAATTAACGATAACGTATCCGATATTTATAATTGCCAAGTAACACTCCATTATCACTACAAAAAAATACAACTAGTTCATAGTTATTTATTTTACTAAAATTTCTGTAACATGTTTCCTTTATTTGACACTGTTTTGAGATATGTTTCTTAAGGTAAAACTGTCTGCGAAATTCTTCGTTTTATCTTTGTCGTTTTCTTCTGAGATCATCGCTTTGTTACAAGTTTTACATGTGTACACTTTTTCTATGGCATCGTTTAAAATACGTTCATCAATAAGATTGTAGAGGTCTGGACTCAATTTGAAGCTCCTCCATTGCTCAAGTACTAGAGTCGACTCCAAAGAGTGCTCGATCTGTTGAAGATCGATACGTTGGTCGTGTATTTCTTGTCAGTGACACTTTTAGTGGATCTGTCTGTTGACCTAAAATATTCATTGTCAGTGATGACGATTTCAGTAGCAGTATTAACATCGACCACCAGCTCACCTTCATTGATATATTCCTTCTCGGACTTCTAGGTAGACAACAGTCGTCAAACGGTATAAATAGGAAAGAAGCATGTTCGCCATAAAATCAACCGAAGCGTCGTGATTGAATTAACCTGATAGATAGTGGAAGTTCGAGAAATATCTGAATCATATTCATTTTCATCAAATTTCAAATTCCATTATTGTCAGTATTAACGGGGCACCCACAATCACGAGCACCATCTGCTGAGGTAACGGGGGGGTGAAAAGGAAACGAGGGTGGGTTGGGCCTAGACGGTCGTGGCGCTACTTTAAAAGAGGCTTATCGTTAAGATGGAACAAAGACTCAAGCGCAAGAATCTTGAAAAGAAACAAAAAAAAGCTGATAGTAACTAAGTAACTAACAATTCGCATAGCAATTCCAAAGAAAATGAATAGTTTTATCGCGAATTCAATCAAAAACCTGACATTAACTACATTGATTTGGAGGTTGCTAAGCGAACATTTTTAGGGAAACTTGAAAAAAGTGACGACGAGATTTTGCAGATCGAAAAAGTCACTAAATCACAGGACGGTACTTTGTCGCGCCTTCATCGGAGGATAAGGTTAACAGTGTCTCGATTTGGTGAAGTTTGTAGAAGAAGGCAGACAACAAGCTGTAAAGTTCTAGCAAACTGCATCATATACCCAACAGAGTTTTCTCGTAACGCAATAAA